CTTGCAGAGCCTGGGCTGCTGCTTCCTCCTTTGATCTTTGAAAGATGGGTGAGATTAGAGATAATTGTGGGCAGATTAAAGAATAGATGAAATTGGTTATACAGGTAAGGATCTGTAATCAGATTTGGGAGAAAGGTGGACAGTACATATGTGAAGGGTTTACATCCTGCAGGGGGTGGACTGGTGCCATACCAAGTGCAAATCACGCAGGCTCAAGTTCACATTGCCCAAATTGTCCCTTTCTGTGTGCATTTTTGTCCCCAGTGTGAACCTCCGAAGCCAAAGGGTAAGTAGCAATCTGCAACCTGCACAAAGGACTCTCTTCTTCCTTTCCATAGTGCCAGGGGTTAACCAGCCCAGGCCTTCAGTGTCTGCTACCCAGGATGCTGCAGCCAGCCAAGAAACAAAGGGCACACGACCTGGAATGGGATTAACATTTCCTTGGCTGGAACATGGCTTTTGGGAAGCCTCTGTCCCTAACTAATTTCTTCCTAACAGGGGTCCATTTGCTCTGACTTCTGTATCACCCTGTGGTGCCCCGTGTGCTCTGTTTGCCAAATGAAGAGAGACATCAACCGCAGGAGGGAGCAGGGCATATTCTGGTAAGCTGGGGGTGCTGGTGCTGGTGCTGGTTTATAAAGCTGCCATCACACATGGCCAAAAGGCTTCCCAGAGTGTCTCCTACCGACACAGGGTTGCTGCAGTGGGGAAATGGCCATGGGCATGTGACAAAAGTGACCTGTCCTACAGCAAGATGTTGCTGGGAATCTCATGCAGGGTGGAGAGGGAAGGACTGTGGAACACACGGTGTGTGGTGAGGCACAGCCCTTTTCCCTGACACTCATCTCCTATCCGTTGCAGATGGATCCACGCTGCATCCTGCGGAGCTGCTGGCAGGAGTTGCCACTGGCCTGGGTGTTGGGAAATGCTCCATGTGGGGCTTGCCTTGATTCTAGTTGATTTGCCCTTCCCTGAGTAACACCAGCAATAAAGTTTTGAGTTTGTCTTCCTACCTCTGTCTATGTCACTCTTGTACCACCTGAGAGGACCTGCCCTTCTCCCACTCCATCCACCTCAGCAGCCCCTGGTGCAGCTGAGATTTCCCTTGCCTGCTGCAGAGAAAGATTTTCACTAGTATTTTGTTATTCAATCAGCTTTTAGAAAGGATATATAATACCCGGGAGAGGATTCACTGTTGCTCATTCAAGTTGTAGAAGTTGGACAAGTGACTATGACTACAGGGTAGAGCTGGGGCTTCCCGCAGACAAGTGACATCTGCAGGCCACCCAGTGCTAATTCGCCCCTGTTGTGGTGGCCTGGGTGGCTGTCCAGGGCTGCTGGCCAGTCCCACCTTTCTGAATATAAAGGCATGGGGATTTGGGGCTGCCTGGCACCAGCCCTCCTCCTGTGTTGCAGAGACACGCTCCCCGACGGACCCTGAGCATGAATTCCCACCCACCTGCAATTAAAATCCTGTTTGGGTCATGGGTTGGCCATGGCCTGTCCATGGTCAAACCCTGTTGCCTTCCTGCATGACCTTTTAGAGTCCATCTGCCTGCACTGGGCTGTTAGCCCTGCACTCCTGTCCAGGAGGTGGAGGTTGCATCCACCCTGTCTCCATCACTATAGAAACGCTAAAGGATTTTCGATCCCTGCAAATATTCCCCAGCTTCACTTTTTAAGGAAAGTGTGAGAATTTTTTGTCCCCTCTCTGCCTTCACCTTCACCACAAAACTTTGAAAGGGCAGGCAGTGGCTCTGTCCATGCTGTGGGGTGGGGGTGCGTGGTGGCACTCCCACCTGCCTAAACCCCAGATGGCCCAAACAGTCTTATGGATGATCCCGGGCCATACAGAAAATGGGTTTTCAGCCTAAGAGAGGCAAAGGCCAGGAAAGTGGAGAGGGAGGGGAGAAAAAAGACCAGGCTGCTGCCTCATCCCAGCGCAGCATGTTACAATTTTGTAGATGTCCCTTGAGGCATCACCTGTGTCACCCAGTGTAGTTACAATCAGCTCTTGCTGACGTTCAGGTTAATGAGGGATAGGCACTGCACTTCCATCAGAATATGGGTTAGGGCAGCACAGGAACCTGGAAACAAACTGCCCTTCCCTGAAAACATCTCCCAAAAGTGGC